CCAGAACCAGAAGCGGTGCCCCTGGAGCCCAAGAACCGGACTGAGCTGGTCTGGGTGAGAAGGATCAGGAAGCAGTATTGGTTCCCCAGGTGTCTGGGGCCCCAAGACTAGGAATGGCGCAGGGCCCAAACCGAGTTTTCTGTTTTTTAAAACACTAATCCAGTCACCCACATTGTGTGAAATTCTTGTCAGGATTTTCTTCCCGGGCTGGAAATGACTGGGGATTCACATGAGCCAGTGTGATAAATTCGTTCTTCTCCAGGCTTCCAACCAGGATGCAGATTTTTTATTCCAAGCCCACCCATTCTAGGTGCTGTTTTTCTGTTGATGCACTTGCTAGAAGTACAATATAATGCCTCTATCCCATCAAAATAACTGGTACAAATGCCTCTTCAACAGCTCTTAAGTCTTTTACTTCTTCCTGTAATTTCAGCTTACCATAGAATGAGGTGAAAATGTCACTTCAGTCAACATGTCTTGGTGCAATACAACATCAATATCAGCACCTTTTGTGTGTACACCTAGTATGTAAGATCCAAATGTAAAAATTTTTCCTGCAACATTTTCAATTACAGATTGTGAAAGATTCTTGCTTTCACTGATTTGTTTCACCAAGTTATTTAATTTTCCCAAAATTAAAATCCTGTGCTGCAGTTCCTCTTCGTCTTCAAAAACCCCAAAGGATTTCAGAATCTTAATGAGCTTCTGTGTAAGGCAGTTAGTTTCCTTGGGGGCTGCTAAGCTGATAGGATAGGTAATGGGTAATGCCATAATGCCTCTGCTGTGGCTGTGCTGCTGCTGCTGCTGCTGCCGTGGACATGATCTACCGAGGCCAGAGGGACAGGGAGGCCTGCCTCAGCCCCAGGACTAACTCAGTCCCGAACCCATGCCCGGGCGCTTTAAGTGCTGCTTCTCTTTCCCTTTCGTCCTTGAAGCAATTACATTTTAAAAAGTTTATTTCAGGCCAGGCATGGTTGTGCACACCATTAATCCCAGCACTTAGGAGGCAGAGGCAGGCAAATCTCTGTGAGATCGAGGCCAGCTTGGTCTACATAGTGAGTTCCAGTTCAACTGGGGCTACAGGGAGACCTTGTCTCAAAACACAAAACAAAAAATTTAATTTCAAGGCAAAGCCTTTGTTTTTTCTTATTCTGTGTGATACTCCATTAATTGTGTTCACGTACGAGACTTTGTTTTTTCCCTGGAGCCTCGATGGATACTGTTGGCTAAACTTCCCTTTCTGGTCCCAGTGCAATGGGACTCTTCTTAACTTCTGGGAAGGGGAGGCTGAAGCTCTGCGAAGACAAGACCTGTGGTCAGAAGTGACAAGAGTCTCACTCATTCCGTTAGGCAAAGTGGCTTCACTCAGGAAATGTTCATGGAGGGCCTGCTGCTGCCAGGTTCTGCTATGCACTTGGGGTGCAGCAGAAACAGGAGAAACCTGGCTCACAGCTTGTGCACAGGAGAGGAAACAGCAGGAGTAAACCACTGTGAGTGAGATGGGTGTCACTGTAATAAGTGAGGTGGGCAAAGCCCCAGTCACAGCAGGAGTAAACCACTGTGAGTGAGATGGGTGTTACTGTAATAAGTGAGGTGGGCAAAGCCCCAGTCACACTCCAAAATGTCAAGGAAGAAGTAGCTTTGTCGATGCTGAGCTAGATGTGAGGGACAGCAGGCCAAGCTGCCGGGTGGCCTGTGCGTATAGCGGAGCCTGTGAGATTGCCAGGTTCAGATACCAAATCCAGGCTTCTAGCATGTGACGTGGTTTGAGGGACCTCAGGTCCTTCCTCCACTCATCTGTGTTTCCTAGGTTTCACAGACCTGTGCAGCAATGGAGTTAGCGCCTAGAGCTTTGCTGGGGCGTTCTGAGGGGCAAGGCTATGTCCCCTCACTGGGCTGTAACCACCTTTATTTTGTGTTCAGAGCTTGCCTCTCAGCCCTGTTGGTTTCTGAGGAAAGGGACTCTCTTGTGTTTGTGGCAGCTGTCCAGAGCTCATGGCACTGTTTCTAGTTGTCCTGAGTTTGTGTGTTAAAACTTTTCTCCATATTTGTTTTCTGTGTCTTTATCACACTGTCAGAGTGGATGAGGATGAAGATGACTTGGAGGAAGAACATGTAACTAAGGTAAGCTGCCCACTCCTTGGATGCTTCTGTGCTGGGGTCTAGGTCCAGGACCCTCTCTACTTCTAGTATGAATGTACCACAAGTCATTCCAGTTGCTTCTCAGCCTCTTGTACATGAAGAACCTCCCAGCCTCTGAGGTGTGCTTTCCACATCCAGAGCATGGCTTCTCCCTGCTGTCTTGACAGTCTAGGCCTCTGGAGGGAGGCCCAGGAAGGAGCAACCATTCTGGGCTAAGGGGTTTCCTTCTCCAGTGGGTAGTGGTGAAGATGAGGAAGATGGAGCAAGTGCACGTTATTCTTGGACTCTCACAGTGTGCTTATCCTCCTCTTGCTTGTATTTTTGTTTGCATGGGGTTTGGTGAGCTATGTATGTCTTTGACATCCCACAAGTTTAAAAATAAATGGTTTCATTGAAGGCGTATCTTTTCTGTTGAAATTAAGTATCCTCTGGTTTTTTCTTCTCACTCTGCTGAATCCTAGAGTAGCTAGAATCTCCAGCTCTGTTTCCGCCTTTCCTATTAGGAGATGCGCATAGGGATTAACCTTCCACACAGGCTCCCCAAGAGTCTGATCTTTTTCCATTCAGAATCAGCACTGTGGGGAAACTCACCCTCCTTGTATCATGAACTCTTCCTGAGTGAATGGGCTAGAGGTTGGGCATGAACTGTGAGAGCTGAATCCTGGTAACTGTCTTGAACTTTTAGAACTGAGGTGGCTTGGGCAGTGCTGGGCTCGCATTGGGTGTGATCTGATGTGAGCTGACTTTATATCATCTCGGGTGTGCACTTGCAGCCATCCTCCCTCCTCCTGCAGGATCTCAGGCCAGAATGGGAATGTTAAGAGCCCTTTCTTTGAATCCCCTTTTTCCAATAACCAGATTTATTACTGTAGTCGGACACACTCACAGCTGGCTCAGTTTGTGCATGAAGTGAAGAAGAGCCCTTTTGGTAAGGAAATCCGGCTGGTCGCCCTCGGTTCTCGACAGGTAAACAAAGGGGACGGATCTCAGCCCAGATTGTCCAACTCCTTGCTTTGTGTCTTTGTCTTTTTGCTCATGTATAGAAAAACAGTGGGGTGGAGCTGGCTGGCAATAAAGCCTCTTCCTGGGGCTTGTTTGTTCTTTAAACTTTAAAGAAGTAGTCTGGGGCGGGGTGTGGTGGTGCACGCCGGCAGGTGGATCTCTGTGAGTTCAAGGCCAGCCTGGTCTACAGCTGGGGCTACAGGGAGACCCTGTCTGAAAAAGACCAAAAAAAAAAAAAAAAAAAAAAAGAAGTATGCTGGACTGTGGGTCACTTTCATATACTTTGGCCCCAAAGAAGCAAGTTTGAAAACAATATAATATGGAAAAGTTTATCTCTAGCTGCTCTGCATATCTCTAGCAGTCATTGATGCAAAGCATGGTGAGCTCCATTTTGGAAACAGAAGCCTCAATCCCAGAAAAGGGTGATGAGGTTCACACAGTGTATCAAGGGCACAAACATGGTTTTTGTTGATTTAAGGTGGTAGAAGAGCCACTTAGTGGCCACCGGAACATGAAGGGTGGAATCTGTGAGCAAGGGGAAGAGGGTAAAGATGAGACAAGATACTAGGAGTGGACTGGGAAGTGAGCTGGTGATAGAGGCTTTGCTCATCGGTGGGAAGGACATTAACTTCCCTCTTCTCCTGCCATGAAGAACCTTTGTGTGAATGAAGATGTGAAAAACCTGGGTTCTGTGCAGCTTATGAATGACCGCTGCATGGAGATGCAGAGAAGCAAGCACGGTAGACACCGGGACCCCGCATGGCCTTGAGTAGAACCCGATAGGGTGGGAGTGGCAGATGTGTTGGGGTGGGGTTGGGCAGGTCCATGGACACGAAGGCTGCGTTAAACAGAAATAACGGGTAGTCGGGTCTAGTTCCCTCCAAGTCCCCCTTCTTGGGAAAGAAGGTCCGTGTCAGGTCCCAGGACATGGCTTGGAGGTGATTGTTCTGTCTCATTATGGGGAGCAGAAAGTGAGATCCCGGAGTGTTCTGATTAATCCACAGTAAGCAGTACTCATAGGGCTCTCACGCTGTCCATGGGAATGAGCCTCAGCATCCCCTCAGCTCCCACATGACCTAGAAACAGCTGTGCTCCTTTGTGTCTTTGTTCTCTCCAACTGCACCACTGCAGAGAAGAAGAGAGTTAGGGACGATAAGTCAAAGAAGAGGAGGCAAGAGACCCAGATGTCCTGTCCCTTCCACAACCATGAGCAGATGCAGCTCCTCCGGGACAAGATCCTGGTGGAGGTGAAGGATATGGAGCAGCTAGTGTCCCTTGGGAAGGAAGCACGGGCCTGCCCCTACTATGGAAGCCGCTTTGCCATCCCTGCTGCCCAGGCGAGTGCTCTGGAGACATAAGTAGTTTCTGGACTTACCAGGGTTTAGGACACAAGGTTTCCTCATTCCTCTTTAGTTTGTCAGGATGTCCCTTACTCAGGCTAGCTTGGCAACCATGCTACACTGCATACTGATTACACATTATCATGTCCCCTAAACCCTAGAGTCCCCAAGAATCCTTGTTGGCTTTGGGCTATAAGGTAATTGGCATTAGAGTTCAGGATATAGCAGCCTGAAAGAGTATGCATTCCTAAGAGGCCACGATGTGAGGATGCTTGGTAGGAGCTGAGCCCAGACCATGAACATTGCCTCTTCCTGGACACATGTCACTCATAGGGAGTTCTCTGTCATATCAGAGATTTAGGCAGATTTGTAAAGAGAGAGAGCAGAGTGTTAGTATCATATTGTGCAATGAAATGCTCACCTACAGATTCCCCTGAGCTGAGTAGATGTGCCCTGGGGCCCAGAAAGGTGATTTATCTGTTCTCTGATGGGCACTTGATGTTGGCAGCCATGTTAGCACCTGTGCCTTGAATTTCACTTAGTAAACTTTCATGTTACTAATACCTGTGGATTTTATGTGTTTGGGGGATGCACATATATCTACGAGTAGTCATGCACGTCATGCATGTGTGTGTGAGCCCATGTGTGTTGGCAAGAGAACAACCTTGGGTATTGTTCCTTGGGTGCCATCAAGGTTTTTCTGAGAGAGGGTCCCTCTCTGGCCTGGAATTGGTCAAGTAGGCTAGGCTGGCTGTCTTGTGAGTCCCAGGGATCTACCTTTTTGTTGCTGGGATTGCAAGCACCAGCAGTGCCACCATCTCTGGCTTTTTTTTCTTTTCCCCATTGGTTATGTGGATCAAACTCAGATCTTCTTGCTTTCAGTGAACATACTTTACCAACTGAGCTTTCTCCCCACCCTGTTAGTAGTCCAGTAGTCTTGTAATTGGGAAATCTTCATAGGACTACACACCTACAGGTTTCATTTTTATTTATTTATTTTTACTGACCTTCTTTGCACTAATCACCACTCAATTGTCAAGCTCATTTTACTTAAAAAAAAAAAAAAAGTCAGGGCTGGAGAGATGGCTCAGCAGTTAAGAGCACTGGCTGCTTTTGCAGAGGACCCAGGTTCAGTTCCCAGCATCCACATGGCAGCTAACAATCATCCATAACTCCAGTTCCAGAGGATCTGGCACTCTCTTCTGACCTCTGCAGCCAGTGTGTGACACAGGTGTATTTAACATCCATGCAGGCAATGCACTCATACATGTAAAATAAAAATAATAAATATTTAAAAAAGTAAAAACCAAGAGTCACAGAGGTTTGACCCCTGACAGCCACAGAGCTGAGAATAGCAGCTCCAGGAACAGAGGGCAGTGGTGATTTCGGTACACAGTGTTTATCAGTGTACTGAGGAACTCTGGAGGCCCTAGGGCTATCATGTGGTCTTAGGTGAGGCTCACTTCCAGGGACTCCATTTCCTCCCCACTCATTTCCTTTTGGTGTCTGATGCACTACAGTTTTAGTTCCACACACTTGACGTCAACCATCAGAAGGTTTGTTGTGAGAAGCAGAGTACTGCACTGTGGCATTCTGACTTGCATACCCTTGTACAAGGTATGAAAAGGAAATTAAGTAACTGCCATGGACTGGGTAGATGATGATAGGATAATTCCTATGCAGTTGAAATACCAGTTGCTTCACTGTCCAGTGGCCCCTCTCCCCTGCAGTTGGTGGTGCTGCCCTACCCAATGCTGCTGCATGCTGCCACCCGACAGGCTGCAGGAATCAGGCTTCAGGGCCAGGTGGTCATCATTGATGAGGCACACAACCTGATCGACACCATCACCAACATCCATAGTGCAGAGGTCAGCGGTTCCCAGGTGGGTTGGACTCTCGTGTCCCGTGGTGCCTGCCATAGGGCAGAGTGACGGAGGTCATTCCTTTAAATGTCTGGGTCTGAATTCCTCTGGAGATGGGGCTTGGGAGAGTGCAATAAGGACCATAACCCTGTCTTCTTATGTTCACTTGCAAGTGTGAGATTCTTGGGACCCTGCTTGAGCAGAATGACTTCATTCTTTCACCTTCACTGGTCCTTCTGCTTGGATGCTGATAACTAGTTCTCTGTCAGTGGATGGTAGTGTGAGGGAACAAAGTTCTCACATGTTTGCATCTTATTATTGATGCTGCTTTGGAGATCTTTAATGGAGGAGTGCATTAATGGGTGAACTACCTTTGTTCCCATCCAACTACTTGTCAGCTTGAAGCTCCTTGTGTCTTGAGCTGGCATTCCCTAGACATGGAATAAGGATTCTTTTTTTTTTTTTTTGTCTTTTTGAGATAGGGTCTCCCTGTAGCCCCAGCTGTCCTGGAACCCTGGAACCCACTATGTAGACCAGGCTGACCTAGAACTCACAGAGATCTGCCTGCTTCTCCCTCCTCAGTGATAGGACTAAAGGCGTGCATCGCCACACCCAGCCGGAATAAGGGTTCTTAACAGAGATCACCTTAACCAGATCCTGGGCTCCCGTTACATGGTTCTGTTTTCTCCCCAGCTCTGCCAGGCGCATTCCCAGTTGCTTCAGTACATGGAACGATACGGGTGAGACACTAGTGCCTGAGGTAGAAGGTGTAGCTGTGCTCAGCCTCAGTGGCTTCCTGGGTCAGCCTTGGAGCACAAATTGGGAGTTACTACCAGCCCATGTCTCAGAGGAATGGGTTGAATTGGTGTCAGGTAATGAGTCTATCCCTGTGTGTAGTCTGCATTCCTTAGGCTTCTTGGGACAGAGCAGCTAGTTCTGAAAGCCTTTGGTCTTGGCCAACCTTTTTACCTGGGGGAAGATTTAAAGTGATAGCCCAGTTTGACAGGCAGCAGGCCGAAAGGCTCCATGGCATCAGGTGAGGGAAGCTGCTGGGCAGCGCCAGCCACCATTCCAGGTCTGTTGCTTCTTCCTCAGGAAGCGTCTGAAGGCCAAGAACCTGATGTACATTAAGCAGATCCTCTACTTGCTAGAGAAGTTTGTGGCTGTTTTGGGAGGTAGGAACACTGTCCCCTGGCTTCCCCTGGTCTGTAAAGTATGCTGGTCTTGAATACCAGTCAGGAGACTTAGGACTTTTATGCTTTTAAGAACCAGCTTGATCCTTGATTTATGATATTTCCCTTTTTTCTAGCTTAGTTGAGATATTTGAACTTAGCTTTTCTATTTGTACTTTAGTGTCCTAGTTCATTTCCCCATGGTCTTCTCCCTGTTCTTTAAGAAACTTTATGGTTCTGATAAAGTATAAGAAAAACACATAATGTTTTGTGAGATAGTTCCAGCTACCTGGCATGTTCAGAGCACGGCACACAGGCAGTTTTATTTTCCATTGTGAGGAGAGCAGCCAAGGAAGTGTAATCCTCATTCACAGAGGAGAAACTATACTCAGACCTGCCTATGGTTCATGAAACTGGAAACTACTGTCAGGAATCCAGACTGCTTTGGTTATTTGGGAATAGCACCATTTTATTTATTGTATGGCAGTACCTTTAAAGTCTTCTCTAGAAGCTGGATTTTCAGAAAGCCATTGAGGCTTTTGTTTTTAATTTAAAACTTTTTTGTTTGATTTATTTTTGCTTTATGTACATGAGGATTTTGCCTTGATGTATGTAAGTGCACCTATGTTGTGCAAAGTCTGTGGAGGCCAGAAGAGGACATCGGATCTCCTGATCGCCCATGTGGTTGCTGGGAATCAAACCTGGGTCCTCTGAAAGAATAGCCAGTACTCTTTAACCACTAAACCATTTTTCCAGCTGTTAGGACTTTTTTAGAGGGATCTTGTCCTATGTTGGTACTCCTGGCTTAGTTCTGTGTCTCTGCCACTGCACCCCGTCATGGGGTTAGAGCCTGTTCTCTCCCTTGTCCTGCTCAGAGTGGCAGTGGAATGCTGCCAGGCCCTCCCTCAGTACAAGAAGAATGATATGGCTTGGGTTTAGGTTCTATTTGAAAAGTGTGGGTCATTCCTGCAAGGCTCCTAGAATCTCCTGTCTTCTCAGTGTGGTCTTTGTTGTAATAATCAAAAGAAACATCTCTTGAAAAATGAATGTTCCTTTTAGTTGGTGAGGGTAAGGAAGAGTTGAGAGCTCAGAAATCTGCAGAAGACAACTGCCATGACCTGTTTGAATTCTCTTTTATAGGCAACATTAAGCAAAATCCGTCTACACAGAGCTTCTCCAAGACAGGTGAAAGGGCTGTTTTTAGTGGGCCGGGGTGATCTAACCACTTAGAGCTTCACTCTTGTACTGAAATCCAGGACCTCAGGCAAGTGACCAAACCAGGCTCTTTGTTTTTCTGCTGTTAGGAACTGAGTTGAAGAGCATTAACGACTTCCTCTTTCAGAGCCAGGTGGACAACATCAATCTGTTCAAGGTAAAGGGCCTCACCTCCTGATATGAGCAGGTTGGGTTTACTTAGGGCTATCTATGGAAGGAGAGCTAGCAATGTAGCCCAGTTGTAGAATAATTGCCTATCATGACTGAGGCCTTCAGTTCTACCCTAGTCACTTGATAAAATAAACATAGAAGAAATAAAATGCAGATACTGTCCTCAAGCAGCCTAAGGTCTGAGGATCTAAGTCACAGACCTAGGCAAGTTCTAAAACCTTAAAGTAAGTGAATAGCAAGAGCCAAATGGTCTTCACTTAGGTTGGGAGTTGTAGGACTTGGCAAGGAAGATTGTTCTTTGAACACCCGGGTATCAGCACACCCTGCGCACTCTCTCCATCTCTGTCTTCCTTCTGGTACTGTTTCTCTGGTGGATTGTTTTCAGATTGTAATCTGGACTCCCATCTGTTCCAAATGAGTGGGGGTGAGAACAGGGACTCTATGACCTATGTCCCCGTCCATTGGTGCTTTGGGTTAGATGGGCACCTTGAGCTTTTGCTTATACTGACCTTGGCTATCTGCTGCCGCTGTCACAGGTGTTGTTTAGCCATTGCGTCACAATGTAGTGATTCTAAATTCATTAATACTGCCTCCATAGAGGTTGTCCTTGTGTTCTGGGCACTGTACCAGGGTCTGTTACTTTGAGGTAGGAGTTAACCAGGCTCAGGATGGTAGCTCAGGAAGATAACGGGCCAGGTCCACATAAGAGCAAACCAAGGATGACTAGTTAGAGCCAGTGGCCAAACACTTCTGGACCCATTCCCAGACTCTGCATTCTTCCCTTCCTGCCGGCCTTTCTTTTTCAAACCACCTGTCCCTCAGACAAACCACTTTTGGTCACTGTTGCACCATCATCCTGCCAGATATGCTGAAATTCCATCATCCTTGGTCCTTTCTCCTCTTTGTGTTCCAAATCCAAATCATTGACATGCCCCATGGCTCGAGTTACCACAGCTTTTCACTACCTCAGTTGCTATGAGTTCTGTGGCTGCTTTTCTCTCTAACCTTGCTTTGTTCTTCTTCATTTCTTAGAACATACTTTATAAATTCTAAATAAAGCAGTTTTAACCAAAGGATACCAGTCAGTGTAGAAATCTTTACAGGTTCCATCTAGCCTTGTGTTCTTTCATTGTGAGCTGATCTGAGGCACCAGCCTCTACATGCTATACACAGCAGGGAATTTGGCCTTCTCTGGAACAGGCCTAGGCCCTTACCCCACCTCCTGCTTTTTATAAAAGATTTTGTTTATTTATTTGTTTGTTTATTTATTTATTTATTATTGATTTTTGGTCTTTTTTGAGACAGCTTCTCCCTGTAGTCCCAGCTGGCCTGGAACTCACAGAGATCCACCTGCCTATGCCTATGGGATTAAATCGGCTGGGATTAAAGGTGTGTACCACCATGCCTGGCTTATTTATTTTTTGAGAAAGGATCTTATGCATCCCTGGGTGGCCTGGAACTGTCTATGTAGTACAGGCCCGTCTTGGAACTCACAGTGATCCACTTGCTTGTGCTGAGCTGAAAGGTTTCACATGCCCCACCTTACTTTTTTGTTTGTTTGTTTGTTTCTTTGTGTCTTTAAAAATTTTTTAATTGAATTTTTGTACATTTAGTACTTATTAATCAAATTTAGACTCCCTCTCTGATCTATGCCCCTGTGGACCTGATGTAATATGTCATACATATTAAGCCCTATCCAGTCAGATATCTTTCATTACAAATTCATCCACTGGAGTCTAGTCAGCCTCTCTAGAGATCATCACTGGCCTTACTTTTTTGAGATGGTGTCTCACTATTTAACCCTGACTGTCCCGAAACTTGCTATGTGGATCATGCTGATCTTTAAGAACTCAGATATCCAAATACCTCTGCCTCCCATCTGCTTTGATTAAATACCTGTAACACCATGCCTGACTTATTATTTTTTAATTATTATTTTTTATTTTATGTGTATGATTGTATTGCCTGCATGTATGTAAGTACACCTGTGTTGTGCAGTGCCTGTGGAGGTCAGGAGAGGGCATTGTTGTTATGGACTGTTGTTAGCTGCCGTGTGGGTGCTGGGAACTGAACCAGGGTCCTCTGCAAGAGCAACCAGTGCTCTTAACCATTGAACCATCTCTCCAGCCCCAGTGTTTGTAAAATTTTTATTTGTGCTCATATATGATGTGTGTATGTGTGTGGATTCTTGTTTGTGAATGTTGATGTGCATTTGCCACAGCATGCATGTCGAGTTCAGAGGACACTTTCCCATTTTCTTCCTTGTTTTCTACTGGTTTGAGTCAGGGTCTCTTGTTCTTCTACTGCATATGCCTGGTTAACAATTTCACAAGCTTATGGTCTTCCTCCTTGTCTTCACATCCATTTCATAAGATCACTGGGATTACAGACACTCAGTAACTCTGACTTTTGCAGACTTTTGAAGTCTGGTTCACATGCTTTTGTGACAGTCACTTTTACCATGGAGCCATGTCTGCAGTTCTTGGGCTTGTTTTTATATCATCTCTTATATCCTCAAGGCCCAGTTTATATGTGGGCACTGGGCAGGAGAGCAGGATACAGACCTTGTCTTGAATACCCTTTGAGTGGTCAGATTCATGTGGACATTTGTGACGAGGTCATGTAGGTGAGGCCCCTATGGGAAGATCTGTGTTCCTAGGTATAGTAGTGCTGTGACCTCAGAAAGTAGATCACCACTCTGAGGGGTTAGTGAGTCATGCTGCCTTGGTGGTATGGGGTGATCTAAAGATCACAGTTTGCTTGCCTCTCACAGAAACCTATATTGGCCTTGGTTTTGCAGGTACAGCGGTACTTGGAGAAGAGCATGATCAGCAGGAAGGTACCATTTCCTGTGATCCTGGCAGGGAGCCAGAGTCACCCTGCTTACTTCCCTCAACTGCCCTGGGGATTCCATATTCCTTTCTCCAATATCCACAGTGAAGAATGATTTCTGGTTGGGGAGGTGCACACCTAGCTGGTGTCTCTGGTTCAGTGCTATACTTCATTTCTGTCTGTCTTTCTTGTCTATACACAGCTCTTTGGTTTCACAGAACGTTATGGAGCTGTCCTTCCGTCCTTTCCAGTTTCCAGGGAGAACCATAATCTGGATGGCTTCCAGCACTTCCTGAAGAGCCTGCAGTCAGGGCCAACTGAGGGTGAGTTAGGAGGGTGAGAGGGTAGGGCCAAGCATAGGCCCTTGCAAGCAGCATGGACCTGACCACAGGAAAATTTCCTCCCCAACTTCAGCTCCTGGAGACTCTGTGGAGGATGCTCAATCTGAAACTCCTCGGCCTCAATCCCCTCTGATGCACATTGAAGCCTTCCTTGCAGCTCTCACCACTGCCAACCAGGATGGCAGGGTCATCCTGACCCACCAAGGTAAATCGGCTCTTTGCCTGGCCCAGGAGCTAATTTGTAGCCAGGGAACCCAGCTTGAAATAATTCTACCCATACTACACTTCTATATGTGTTAAGGAGCTCCAGGCCTCCTAGGCCTTGGGCCAGTAGTGGCCCTGGGGACTGGTATGCAGAGGTGTTGGACAGTCTCAGGTAAGGTACTTAGAGAACCCTCTATCTTACGTTTGAGGTTAGGTGAGGTTGGTTTCAGTTTTGGCTTCCATTGTCTGAGTTCTATGTGGCTTGCACCAATCCGTCTCTGCACCTCATTTTCCACGCAGACCACAGTAATGTCTACCTCAGAAGGTTGTTCTGGAATGGAAATGGGGTTTGTTTTAAAGGGAAAGTGCTAGTTCATCCATCTCCTCCATGGGTCAACTAGAGCTTTTTGTGCTTAGGCTGTCCCATGCCTTGCCCCATGTGTCTGTCTGTTTTTCAGGCACCCTTGGTCAGAGCAGCCTCAAATTCCTGCTCCTGAACCCAGCTGTGCACTTTGCCCAGGTGGTGAAGAATTGCCGATCAGTGGTCATTGCAGGCGGCACCATGCAGCCGGTAAGGACTCTGCCATAGCCTCTTGTGCCCAGGTGGTGGGATGGTATCAGACACAATCAGGTGTCTTCCCTGTTTCCTAGACCCCTAAACAGAAATGGGCCAGCACCCACAGGCCCTGCAGTGCCCAGTAGGTGCCACTGGCATCCAGTTTTACTTCTTTTGCTGTTCTGCTGGTAGAGTGGGGGCTGTCTGGCTCTTTTCCTCCTGCAGTGTCTGCAGCAGGCTTCTCCCAGAGAAATTTCCCCTGTGGTCCCTGACTCTGACTTAGGCATCTCCCTCCAATTCCCTTCCTGCACCCACACAGAGGTTCCCAACTTCTCTCTCCTAACAACTTTTCATATGTATATTATTAGAAAATTTGTGTCTTTGTTGTAGAAATCTAAAACAAAAATGGGAATAAACATCAGAATTCTAGCAACAGATGGTTCATTTTGGTGCATGTTCCCTTTACATGGATGTACATATTTTTAGAACAAAACAAAATCACACTTCTACTTTATCAGTATAATTTGCTTTTTCTCTGTAACAGGATGTAGGTATTTTTCCTTGCCAGCAAATAAAGATTTATTCAAACTTACTGTGCTCTCTTTGTTAGTTGCCTGGAGTATTATTCCCAGTGCATCTCTTTGTCCTCATAGTACTGTCATAATCTGCACAGGAGGAGCTTCCTTATCTTTCTTGTCCTGCAGACCACTCAGGGCTTACACACTGCTGGGCTCTGAAGCACTGGTTCTAGGCTTTGCTGAAGGCTAGAATGTCCCATGTAGCATTTTGCACCTTTGTTGTTTTCTGTATTACTGATGATTGGCCATAGAGCAAGGTGTGTGCCTGGCAAATGCTCCACCTCTAAAGTACATCTCTAGCCCCCAGAGTTGTTTTTTTAATAGTTTACTCATTATTTTTACTTTTTGTGTATGAGTATATTGTTTGCATACAGGTAGGCGCACCTGTGTCATGCAGTGCCCATGGAGGTCAGTAGAGGGCATCAGATCCCCTGGAACTGGAGTTACAGACGGTTGTTAGCTGCCATGTGGGTGCTGGGAATTGAACCTGGGTCCTCTTCAAGAGGAGTCAGTGCTCTTAACCTCTGAGCCATCTCTCCAGCCCTCCCTATGGTTTCTTTATTTTCTACTTCTGTGTTCTTTTTGTGTGTGTGGATTTGTATATTTGTATTCCTCCAGTGTATTAAATTTCATAGTCATTTTTGATGCTGAAATCATTTCAAACTTGACTGGTGGAAGCCCCTCCCTCCCACCTCTTGTTCTTTTGACAGGACCTCTACGGGCTTTGAATGCCCTTGTTCTGGCTTATTTCTTTCTCCCAGGGCCTGGTATTTTGAAGAGTTCATACCTGACATATTATATGCTGAGCATATTACTCTTTCTATCCTGCTACTCCCTCTACTGTTACCTGTTTTCGTAGTGGCTGCCGCTCTCCCTGAGATGAGCTGGAATCTCTGTAATTTTGATTACATTTCCTTGGTGATCAGTGAGGTTGAGAACTCTCTAATATACTTATTGGCCATTTCTGTCGCCTGTTTTGAGAACTGTTCCTGTTCCTTTCATTATCCCACCGAGTGACTTGATTTCTGCTTTTTGATTTCCCTTTTTTTTTTTTTTTTTTTTGGCAATGGTACTTCACGGAGACATCACATTAAAAACATGCCAGATATTTTCTTCCTATTAAACCTTAATTGTATAAAATGAGGCCTAATCGTTTTAGCCACATGTATTACTTTTCTAAATTTCATTGGGCTTTTCTGATTGTACATTTATTGAGGAACCATTGTGTGCAGAATTCTTTTTTTTAATGATTTTAATTTTTTTAAATTGATATTGTGTGTGTGTGTGTGTGTTTCATACAGAACATCCCAAACAATCTTATTCATCTTTATACCTGCATCCCAAATCCACCCTCCAATAGCCTCCCCCAACCCCCACTGGAGCCCATATACTCTGTCATCCCTGTTACTGTCCACTGTGTTGTCAGTGCCCCCAGCTGTTCCCCTGTGCAAGTCCATCCACTGAGTCTAGTCAGCCTATCTAGAGTCCCTTGTTTTAGGAAGATCAGCTGTTCCTCATCTAGCAGCAATCATTTGCCAACATTTCTTTAGGTAAGATTGGGGTCTGCTGTCCATTTTCCCAGTTCTATGCTGGGTTACTGTCTGGGAGTATCTTGGTGCTTTTAGATTTCTGTATACTTGATATTATTCCATGTTAATTTTTATTTTATTTTATTTTTAAAAATATTTTATTATTTTTATTATATGTGTATGCATGTATTGCCTGCATCTAGGTAAGTGCACCGTGTCATGCAGGACAGAAGAGACTGTCAGATCCCACGGAATTGGAGTTATGGACAGTTGTTAGCTGCCATGTGGGTGCTGGGATTTGAACCTGGTCTTCTGCAAGAACAGTGTGCTTAACCGCTCCGCTCTCTCTCCAGCTCCCCCTGTTGATTTTTAAAAAATATTTACTATTTTTATTTTGTGTGTATTGACTGCATGTTTGTAAGTGCACCCGTGTCATATAATGCCCATGGAGGCCAGAAGTAGGCATTGGAACCCCTGGAAGTGGCGTTACTGATGGTTGTTAGCTGCTATGCAGGTGCTGCAAACCGAACCTGGGTCCTTTGCAAGAGCATTCTGTGCTCTTAACCACTGAGCCTTCCCTCCAGCCTCCATGTTGTTGATTTTGATGCATTGCCAGGGCTGAGAGCCAGTTGTACCAATTTCCTTTGCTACTCCTAGAGTTCTGAAGTTTCTGTCAAGACTGGGTGTGGCTATCAGTTCCTTCTTGGTAACTGGCCTTCAGCCTTTCCCTTGCACTTTGCTTTCTGTTGTGTGTACGTGCTTCCTCCGATCCCAGACAGCTTTTACCTGTCACTGAAGAGCACCCAACCTCCAAACTCTGGAGGGTCACAGTGCCTTCATGTTCTGGCTGCAGGTGTCTGACTTTCGGGAGCAGCTGCTGGCATGTGCTGGGGCAGAAGCTGAGCGAGTGGTGGAGTTTTCTTGTGGTGAGGACCTGTATGGAGGTGGGATGGCCAAGCACCCAAACCCTGTCCCCAAGGTCATGGTTTAGCCATACCTACGGCCCAAGGCAGAGGACACCACTGGATAGGAACCTTGTTCTTAGTGGCCTTGGTCAGCAGCACACTCCCCCAGGTGCTCAAGCTTATGCCCTGTTTTCTGCACTCATTGTGGCATTGGATGTGGGGAGGTGTGGTGTACATTACAGATTTCTGGTCCTAGCTAGGGAAATGATTTGGCACAGTGCTTTCCCTTGGCATTCCATTGTAGACTATTCTGGGCCTGAAGTTTTCCACCCCTCTTTGGTCTTACCAGGTCATGTGATCCCTCCAGAGAATATCTTGCCCCTTATCATCTGCAGTGGGCCCTCCAGCCAGCAACTAGAATTCACTTACCAGAAAAGAGACCTACCTCAGATGGTTAGTACCACCCTAGTTCCCATCCACCTGTGCCAGAGAGAGAGCTCTCACTAGTCCTGGCATTGGCACATAAGCAGATCCACTTCGGTGTCATCAAGGAAGGTTTGAGCCCCCCACAGAACTGCTATGCTAAGTATGTTTTCTGAAGTGCTCACGTTACAATGCAGCATAGGAGAAGGGTGACCATTTGGTGGGGTGGGGTCGGGTTGTGGGAGTGCTCTTGCTCAATGCTTCTGTCCTGGGCATATTGTAGGTCTTGGGGCACATCTCCATAGGCATGTCTGAGATGTCATATGCCTGTTCTGGATTATGCCTCCTATGACAGTGAGACCTAGAGAGGACTCAGTGGCATACTAATAGTCTGCTTCATTGATGGGGTACCAGTTTTAGGATGCGCTATAAAGGCAGGAAGTCACCAGAATCCCCAGTTGGGCAAGTCTTGTAGGAGGGAAACACATTCCATGCTATGAAAGGGGAAACATTCAGCCTCCATCCTCTTCTCTGGGGGAGTCAGAATGAGAGTTTCTGTCCCCTTGGTTTTGAGCTCAAGGGAAAGGAAGGTATCTGTGGGTGTGGCTTCCCTAGGGGCTCCTTGTCTGCCATCTGCAGATGGATGAGACAGGTCGCATTCTCTCTAACCTGTGCAACGTGGTCCCTGGAGGGGTAGTGTGTTTCTTCCCGTCCTATGAATACCTTCGTCAGATCCATGCCCACTGGGACAAGACTGGTCTGCTGGCACGTTTGTCTATCAAGAAAAAGGTGAGTCAGCCCACAGTCAGACCTCTGTATGCGAGGACATTGCCTCCTGTAGTTCCTTTTAGCGACTCCCAAACTTGATTAGGGATGGTTCAGATTCTCCTTGTTCCTTGTCCTGCCACTTCCAGGCCAGAGCACTTGCCCCCGTGTTTCCCCAAAACTTGACTACATCAGGTTCCATCCCCAGCCTGAAACCTAAGGCTTTGAGTGTCCTGAAATTCAGTCTTCTGAAGGCCTTTGCTGGGAGGCACCAGTGTCTTCTCTTCCCAGGTATTCCAGGAACCCAAGAGAGCAAGCCAGGTGGAGCAGGTGCTGATGGCATATTCCAAATGCATTGGGGTGAGAGGCAGAAGTGAGGCTGGGTGCAGGGATTGTGTGTGCCTGGCAGCTGGGAAAAGTGTATCGCTCCCACTTTGACTCAGCCTCTTACCTGGTTCTTCTCCACAGTGCTGCAGTCAGGCGGGTGGTCATCTGACAGGGGCCTTGCTCTTCTCTGTGGTCGGAGGGAAGATGAGTGAAGGGATCAATTTTTCTGATGAACTGGGCAGGTAGGTTAGTGTCCTTATCTCTGCTGGGGCTTAGGGCCTGGGGTGCTGCCTTCTGAGTCATGCCATAGGGTTTCTGCTCAGGCTGCCTGCTTGGTGTAAGTGACTGTGGGTAGAGTGTCTGAAACGCCTCTCCATACAGTTCTGTGGAGCAGAGAAGTACGCAACCATGACTTGATCACAATCTAGTTCTTTAGCTGGAAACACCCAAGTGGTAGGTCATGTCCTTGAGCTGAAAACACCCAAGTGGTAGGTGCAGGATGGGATATATTGAGCTAGTAGGCACAGTTTGAAGTATGGAGAGAGCCATAGGGGCATACAAGTGGAAGGAGGAGCTGTACATGGCTCAGTGAGAAGAATGTTTGCTGAGAAGGTCAGAGGACCTGAGTTCAGAACCATAGCACCAACATGAAACCCAGCATTGGCTGTATGTGCCTGTAACTCCAGCATTGGGGGAGAGTTAGATAGAACCTGGGAGCTTTCTGGCCAATTATCCTAGCTGAAATATTAACTTCAGATTCAGTGAGAAATCATGTCTTAAAAAAGTAAAGTTGAGCAGGGCATGATGGCATATACCTTTAATCTCAACACTTGGGAGGCAGAAGCAGGTTGATCTCTGTGAGTTCAAGGCCAGCCTAGTCTACAGAGTGAGCTCAGGGGCAGCCAGTATGCACAGAAGATATCCAACATCTTCCTCTGACCTCAACATGTGTGCCCGTGGGTATATGTAGGACACCCCTACATATGCACACACATCATCTGTAGGAAATAGGAACTGATCATATGTATGTGAGGATCCCACAAGGGACTGAGTCACATAGCTGTTTGCCATGTAAACTACTATAGGTGTGTGGTGATGGTGGGTATGCCATACCCCAACATTAAGTCTCCAGAGCTTCAAGAGAAGATGGCCTACTTGAATCAGATCCTTGTGAGTACTTGCCTGTTTGAGAGGGTGAGAGGAAAGGGCCAGGGAGGAAGCACTGTAGCAGCTCTAGACCTGGGGTATCAGGGCCCTGGATTATGACTGTCTATTGTGTAAATGTTTCTTATCCACTCTGGATATTTCACAGTATAACTCCAGCTCCCTTGATCCTCTGTGTGATATAACAAAAATGTTGGGTCGGGCGCATGAAATCAGACTTTGCTCCAAAGTCTGTGGTACCAGACAGGAGAGAGAAGATTGTGCTATATTATCTTCTAATCTTGTCAGCCTAGGACACCAGGTGACATCCCACCAGGGAAGATGTTGATGGAGAATCTGTGCATGAAGGCTGTCAACCAATCCATAGGTAAGCTTGAGGCTGCTGCAGAGGACAGATGAATGGTTGGAGGATAAAGTGACCTGTCATACTTCTGAGGATGTGGGGAGGGAGGGTACCTGTCACATTTGCAGTGTGGAGCCAAGTTTAACTGAAGAACTCCAATCTCTGTGTCTACCCAGGCAGGGCCATTAGGCACCAGAGGGATTTTGCCAGCATAGTGCTTCTGGATCAGCGGTATGCCCGCCCTCCTGTCCTGGCAAAGCTACCAACCTGGATCCGAGACCGTGTTGAAGTTAAAGCCACGTTTGGCCCTGCCTTTGCTGCTATGCGGAAGGTTAGGCCTGCTTCCCTCTACCTCCACCCCCACCCAGACCCTCAGACCTCCCAAGCCTGAAATAAGGCATCATATCATCTTTTCCCTCTCTGCAGTTTCACCGGGAGAAGACTGGCACTTCCTGATGGATGGTCACACCTGCCCCTGGAGTAGGCTTCTCTTTTGTTCTATCTAGGTGACTTGGCTTTTGTGTTAGGTCTAAGAAAGTGGAAGTCATACCAGACAGTGAGCCTACACTGGTCTAGAGGCAGTAGATCCATGTCCAAACTTACATGGAAAAGCCACCAGGGTAAATGCAGTTCATCCTGAAGGAACAGTAGCTGGGACCAGGGAAGCTCATCCTCTGAGACAGAGTCTCCCTTGTTTAGGTTGACTTTCTGCCTGACTTCTCAGAAGACTGGAAGCACCAGCCTCTGCCCTCTTCAGAAGGGAGGCCCACCCTGTCTGTCCTTTCTAGGTTATATGAACTATTCTGGATCTTTCTCTCCTGTCTAAGACAAAGACGTCCCCTTTGCCAGGGCCCTGGAGTCTGCAGGATCCTGACATCCTGGCCACACTAATAGTTCTGTCCCTCGTGTTCCTGCCCTGCCTTACAAACTGGATCTCCCTTGTTTGGTTACTGTTCTTCCTTCAAGCCAGTGAAACCTCCTTCCCTCAGCCACCTGAGCAAATACCAAGTCTGTACACATTAGTAGTTATGCCAAGGGTCATTAGATACTCAACATGATTACATTTATTGTCCCTGTGTCTGACGCAAAGACATTTTTGCCCTTGGAGAAAGATCCCTACATCTGCAATAGTCCCAGGTCTCTTCTTGTTTGAACCCAGAGAAAGTTTTCCATCTCCTCAGATATTGCCCCATTACTAAGACCTCCCAGATGGGAGGACAGTCCATCTTCTGAGGAGCCATCTGTATCTGGAGGGGTCACCATTTATTAAAGGGCCTTGAGACCTGTCCCATACCCACCACATACAATTCATTTATGCACCAAACTCGGGCCAGGCTTTCAAGCATGTGCCAGGCACCCACCAGACATGAATCACATGTGTGCCGCATGCACCAGACACACATCATGCCAGCGACAAACATGCACCAGACTCCCATAACCAGTGCCATGCACGCACTATGCCCGGGCAACCTGCATGCATCAGGCACCAACCAGTCATGTACCAAACCCTCGCCAGAGATGCATCACACACCCACAAAACACATTGTGCAGCGTCAGCCACCCAGCATGCATGCGCTAACGCACCAGAAACATTGGGCCCTTGCCACATGCATGCGCCAAGCGCATATCAGACGTGCACCAGACATTGTCCCACTTTATTCAAAGCCAGTCCTCAGTCAACATACCAGGTGAATATAGCATGAGATACTTGTGAAATGAGAGTTCTTATAATCTTGGAAAACAACAAATCTTTTATTTTCAGCCACTCTATCTTGGGATGGCTTGTTACTATAGCTTGTTACTGTGAGCTCATACCCCTTATGAATGAATTCAATGAATGGACAGTGAATGAATAGCAGATGTGTGATGTTCTTCTGTGCCTGGAAAAGTGAGTTCTCTGAGAACAAAGAACAAAGAACTTGTCTGCCTTGAATGAGGAGCTTGTCTGCCTTGTTCTCTGGGACACCTCAAACCCAGGTGGGTGTTCCTGCCCCTTGTAGAGGCCCAGACCTGAGAGAGGAGTGATTGGTGCTCAGTCTGTGGGGGCATAGGAGTGGGCTGGTGCATTTTCTCTCTCCCTTCCCTCCCCCCTCCTCTCTCTCCCTCCTCTCTCCCTTCCTCCTCTCTCTCCTCTCTTTTCTCTCCTCTCTCCTCTCAGTGGAGAGGGCAGGCACAAGGCATGGGTGAGTATACACCTTGGGAGGCCAGTCACAGGGCTGTAAGGGGTGTGTGCACACTGGGAAGGCCACTCCACGGTGGTCCACAGTACTCAGGAGTCTACTATTTGCAGAGTGACAATCCTTCCCAGGGGGAACTTGAAGTGTGTTCCCTGGTGTGACATGAAGCATCCAACTGGCTGGCTTGCTCTGTGTGTGTCTGTGTCTGTCTGTCTGTCTCACAGGGCCAAGTGACGGCGGCGCATCTGATACAGTAGGCAGGCCTAAGAGGAGGGCTGGTGTGAGGCACGGGGTGGGTGGGGGCCTCTGTGAGGGCTGGGCTCAGGTTGAGGGCTGTCAAGTCGACTGAGCAGGGCCAGGAAGGAGGGTCTGGGAGGGTCTGGGAGGGGAAGTATCTGGAGTGCAGAGGTGAAAGACAAGAGGGGAGCCCTGGGGGGGCGGGGCAAGTGTCAGGAGGTAGAGGAGGAAGACCAGGAAGAGCATGGGACCAGCTCAAGAAAGAGAAAAATATAGGGTAACTTAAACCATGGGTGAAGAATAGTGAGTGGTAATAGGCAAGAGAAGGCGAATTGAAGGTGAGGGAGAGAAGCTAACAGAAGAGAGGAAGGAGGGCAGGAGCCAGGGAGGAGGGGACTGGTAGGAGAGAGTGGGAAGACAGACCAGGGCTGAGGAGGAGGGCAGGGGCCTGGGGAGAAGAGGGGTGAAGAGTGCGAGGGAGAAGGGAGGGAGAGAGAGGGGGTGAGGTATAGTTAGGGGGAGGGACAAGAGGGGCAGGGAGAAGAGGGGAGGGAGGAGGAGGAGGTGAAGGGGTATGCACTGTGGGGGTGAGGACAGCGGTTGGAAACCTGTCAGGGAGAGCAAAAGGGGAGGAAGGAGAAAGTGAGAAAGTGGGGGAAATCTGGAAAGATGCTGGCAGAGGAAAGGAAGGAGAGGGGAGGCGAAGGACGGGGGAGAAGGGCTGTTCATGGTGCCTGCCCCTGCACCAGACATGCATCATGTGCGGGGCGTGCACGTGCTAGACATGGATCGCGCACCGGACACGCATCACGCACGTGCCACACAGGCACCAAGCACTACCAGAAACGTACTAGACTGACGCCAGACAGTAGCCAGGCACGTGCCACACACACACACGCACGCACGCACAAGACAGGTATGCAGGGTCAGGCACCCAGCATGTATGCGCCAAACACGCAGCAGACATGTCAAGCCTGCTCCACATGCACGCTCCAGGCACACGCCAGACTGAAACCTGACTAGGAGAAGAAAAGGTAAAGGGGAGGAAGGAGAGGGGGAGAAGGTGGGGAAATCTGGGAAGAAGATGCTGGCAGAGAAGGAAAAGGAAGGAGTGGGGAGGTCCAGGGGCAGGAAGAGTGTTCATGGTGCCTGCCCCTGCACCAGACACGCACCAGACATGCATCACGCACGGACCAGACACGCATCATGCGCCAGATGTGCACCAAACTCCATCAGACAGGCGCCAGACAGGCATCACGCTTGCGCCAGACACACGCCAAGCATGCGCAAAACTTGCTCCAGGCACCCCCCCCCTCAGCCAGGAGCCAGGCAGGAGCAAGACGCACCAGACGCGCTGAACAAGCATCTTCAATGCACCAGACAGGCGCCAGGCAAGTCCCAAGCACACAACTGGCACGCGCCAGGCATATGCCAAACATGCCAGAGAGGCTTTGCGAACGCACAGACTTGACCGAAACGAGTCGTCTACAGGTCTGAAGCACCAGACATGCTTCATTCCCACACCAAACACGCATCACACGCGGTAGACATGCATCATGCCAGCGCCATGCACGCACGGACAACGTGCATGTGCCAGGCACGCACCAGGAACATACCAGGTACGCGGCCAGACACACCATTCAGTTAGGTAGCTTGTTTGACAGTTTGGGGGTTGGAGGTTTTCCACTAACTGTAAGCAAATTATCAATGTGACAGGTCCATGTGCCTCATGGTCAACTTTCTTGAAAGGGCAGCCTCGAGATTCAGTATCTGGTCCTGTTTATCATTGGCCAGGGCTTGTTCAGCTGCATTAAAGTGACTTATCAAGGCCTTACATGGGCAACCAGGTGACGTGAAAATACTGTAATACACAAGAGCTTCCATAGGATTTTATAGAAGATGGATATCCTAGAATCTTTACACTATCCCTACATCATTTGTTTGTTCCATGTAATAAAAACACCTGAGTACTTTAATTCAACACAAAACATGTCCAAGGATAAACATGATACAAATAATTTGGGCAAACCATATGGTCATGAAATACTGCCATAACCTTCATATTAATGATTGACTCCTGGAGACAGAAAATATATAATTAGATGCCAATGGTGATGCAAAGTTTATCCACATTGGGCTGGTGACCAATTGAAAAGCTGGGGATAGACTGGACAGGAATTGTAACAATGCTCTCAAACTCTTTCTAGGTGTACTCTATCGTGAGGAGAAAGCAGATGTCTGATATCTGGGAATGTTGTTCTACATTACGACCACTTCTTAGGGATCACCCTTGAATAACTACAGGAGATGATCCTTAGATAAACCTATGAATTTCAGGTCATTTCACACAACAGCTAGAAAATCTCATGTACTGAGATCTGGCTTTGGAAGGCTAAGGCTGGGATCCTAGCAGACAGCCTGAGGGGGGCGGTTCAGACCTCCATTGGGGTAGTGTCTCAGAGCTCAGCAGACCTCCAGAGAATGCTGGGATCTGGCCACTCTCTGGCCTCCAACTACCAGAGGGCCTGAGAACCCAGGGAACTGCCTGACAGCCCCCAGACCCTACCTCCTCGTGGTGGTGAGCCTCCCCTAATTGCACCATACATCCCCTACTGGGGATTTTGTGAGGCCTTTCCCAAGGCCCCAGGGCAGATCTGGCTTTGGTAGGCTAAGGCTGAGGTCCTAGCAGACAGCCTGGGAGGGTGGTTTCAGACCTCCATTGGTGTAGTGGCTGGGATCTCAGCAGATGGCTAGAGAGTGCTGAGTGCTGGCCCCCTCTGGCCTCCCTCTGGCATAGGGTTGACAACACATGGGACTGCCTGAGAGAGCCTGGATCCTGCCTCCATGTGATGAAGGAAGCCTGAGTGTACCTGACTGGAACCTGAATTGGGCTTCTGTGGGCACCTCTGAATAGCTGATCTGAAGCCATCATTTCCCTCCAAAATAAACTTGAGAGAACCTGAACCCTGTACCAACCAGCTTTAGTTAACCAATAAAGAAAGGATCTAGGCACCCAGATAATACAAACAGAATCATACTTGAACTTAATTCTCATATCAGAATCATAAACAAAAGAAATTCACATGCCAAAACCACAAAGAAAGAATAATAAAATGGAAAGCCAAAACACTATGTCCCCACCAAACTCCACCAATCCTGTAGAAGG